CCCTAGTTCAATTGGTAACAACTAAGCTCCTATTGTGGATTACACTGCAATAGCCACAGGTTCAAGTCTTAGCTGAGGCATAAAATTAGATGATTTTCATTAGAATTTCATATGTAACTGAATATGTGAGCGTATATACTAATATATGTTAGAAACTGGTCGATCAACCTATCGATCGATGTTAATTATGCCTAAATACTGAAATTGCAGAACAAGTGAATGCAAATGAAGCCAGGGATTGATAGAAACTTGGCCTTCGCTAATAGGCCTGTAACGGGTACTGTCTCACGTCTTCAATTTCAGGGGCCCTTACACAAGTAAGGAAGTGATTAACCAGTAATTAGTAGATTGGGTACTACCTACGGGTGGCTAAGGTGATAATAGATTGCATTGCACTGTCGCAGTACCCTCCAATCGAGCTGTCATTAGGGGTAGAGACTGGGTTCAATTCTTGGGTGAATTTGACGATATGGATACGACAGCCACCTACCTTTCTGAGGTTCTATAAGATGAACAATATCTAAGCCTTTCCGATCATGTGTAAAATACTCTGATACTGAGTAGAGGTAATAGTATCCAGATATGGTGTTGGTAAATACAGGGAAAAAATTGACAAAAGTAACTGTGGTTAAAAGTGATCTCTCTATCCATATTTGACAGTGATTCTGAGGTCTAGGGACTCTGAAGGCTAGCTCTTGAAGATGTTGACCTAGGTGGTAATTTTCAGATCAGTATTACAGGGCAGGTTCTGGCTAGAACTATATGTCTAGTCACGACTTTAGGGGATTCTTAGGTATAGAGAATAACACCTTAATACTCCATTTAAAGATTCCTATGTACCGGATACTATAACTTAAAAAAAAAAAAAAAAAGATTATAATATAGTAATTAGTTAGCTATAATAAAAAGATTTTATATAAATAGATAAACTTTTTACTTATATTATAAATTAATTTTTATAAATATAAATTTTAATATTATAATAAGAAATTAATTAAAATTTATAACTTTCTGTCTCTTAATATTTTATATAGTTTGATGTAATCCTTATATAAAATTTGTAATTAAATTCATTATTTGAATTCTTTAATTAAAGTTATTTATAATTTTATCTTTTAAGTTTTTATACTTGACAGATTTGTTAAAGTTAATTTTTAAATTTTATAAAATTAAAAGTTAGGTAAATTCTAATACCTTAATCACAATTAGTAATTAAAGTAAAAAATTAAGAATATAGTTAATTTAAATTAAAAAATTTCACAATGATAATAATAAAAAAAAATGTAAAATATTTTATTATTAAATATCATTAATAAATTTGTTATAAATTTTACAAAAAAAGTAATATATAAATAAAAGCTACTTTTTTATTTATATCTGTAAATTTTTATTTTTTGAAAAATAATTGAATGAAAGATATAATTTGTTAAAAAAATCTTTATTTATCTTTTTATAACTGTATGAGATTTATTAAAATGTATATTGTTAATTTCTTTTTTCTATTAATTATTATATCCATTTATTTTTGAAAAACTATATTATGTTTAATCTAACTTCTTAGGTATAGATATTTTAATTTTTATATAAAATTTTATATGATCAAATAGATTACTTTAATTGATTCATGCTAAATTTATATAGATATACTTTAAAAAAAGATAAAATAAAAGATGAAAGAAATACTGACTAAGGTTAAAAGTTAAAGTTAAAAAAATAAAGGTAAAGGCTATAAAATTGAATTATTTCAAAATGAATATTGTATTTGCTAAGTATATTGTCAAAATTTAGTTACAGTTATTATTATAATTTTATTATAATAATTCAAATATAGGAAGTTTATTAGGAAAATGAGATTCACCAAAATTGAAATTTTTGCTTTATATTAATCTAAAATATAATAACTTTAATTGGTTAAATTTTTAAAATACTTTAACTTAATATTAAAATAAATAATTAGTAAATTAAATTTTTTACTTAGTAAGTCTAAAAATAAAATTTGAAAATGATGAACATGATTAATATACTATTTAGAAAATGATCAATATAATTAATATTTTATATTATATATAATAAAAATAAATCAAATAGTAAAATAGTTATATTTTAAATAATATATTATAATTAATTTTTAAATATAATATTTTATTATTTTATTAATATTAAAATATTTATTAAAATAAAAAAATAATTTATTTTTGACATAGTATAATAATTTTCTTAAAAATATTTGCTTCTTAACCAATTATTTTTTATCATATAATATAAATCACCTGATTTAAAAATTATAAAAATAGATTGCCTTAATATTAAAGCTTAAATTTTATTTATCATTATTATACAAAAATAGAAATTAATCTCAAATCTCCTTTTTCCTAGCAAACCTCTCATATATTGCTTAAATTTTAAAAATAACAATTTCAGTTATCTTTTTTCAATTAATCAACTATTTTTAGCATATAGTAATTATATATAATTAAATAATAATAGATTTTATCTTTTAAATAAAAGATTTTTAGATTTTTAATTCTTTTTAATTCTTTATATATAGAGTTTTTAAAGTTATTTTGAAGCTAAAAGAAAATTTTAACTTATTTTATCAAGTAGATTATCTAAATTTTAAAAAATACTTTAATTAAAATTAATTAATCAATTATATAAAAATTATTCTATATCAAACCATTTATTTATTATATTGTTATATGATATTATATATTATTGGTCAGAAACTTTAATGTTAACCATTTTATATTATTATACTAGAATAGTCAATTAATATTAAATATTAGATATATCACATATTGATTATTACAAATAACATTTATAGATATCAATTCATTTTTTTGATTTGTATATAATACAAATATGCAACATTGCTAATTTTTTTGAATTTCTATCTTATATAAAATATTTATTTACTTCTCAAAAACATTTTTATAAAATTTAAAAAGATCTTTTTAAATATATTGTCTATTATATATTTATTTTAACATATAAAAGTATTATAAACAATTTTAATATGAAAAATATGTTGTATTAGTTTAAGATTTTTAATTTTATTGTGATTTTTTTTGATTTTAAAAACTTTTTTTTTATTAATTAAAAAATATAATATTAAAATAAAATTTTAAGGAATCAGCATTTCTAATTCAATTAGTAACAACTGAACTTCTATTATGAGTTATATTATAATAGCTACAGATTCATATCTCAGCTGAGGCATAAAATTAGATGATTTTCTTAAGAATTTTAAATGTAATTGAATATGTAGACATATTTATTAATATGTATTTATAACTAATCAATCGATTTATCAATCAGCATTAATCATATCTAAATACTGAGTTTTTAAGAATATGTGGATGCAAATGAAGTTAAGGATTGATAAAAACTTAGCTTTTGCTAATAGGTCTGTAATAGATACTATTTCACATCTTAAAATTCAGAGCTTATATATAAGTAAGGAAGTGATTAAATAGTAATTAGTAGATTGGATTAACTTAAAAATAGGATTATCAGTAATAATAGACTGCATTGTATGCTGCAGTACTAGACTGATCTATTTGTTACAAGGGTTAGAAATTGAGTTCAATTTTTAGGTGTATTTAACGATATAAGTATGAAAATCACCATTTAATAAAATAGAACCTGATCCTATGATCTCAGTAGTTATCAATAGAATGAAATTCTATAAATATTAGATTGGTAAGAATAGGGTATGATAAGCTCTATGGCTGAAATGATCCCTCTATCCTAATGTTCATTTGAGCTAAGAGTAAGTAGCATGTAGTGAACTAACTACTTTCAGTAATTTACAATAATGATGATACTTCATAAAGTGGAGATCTAATCATAGTTACTTCATAAACCTTGTGGAGTTATATTGAGACCTAAGTTGGTTATGCAATTGGTTACTCAAAGAATTACAAATTCTTTAGAATCTGTATTTTATATAAGTGATTGATATAGATTAACCTCATTAAAATAAAAAAAAAACTAAAATAAAAATTTTTATTACAATTATTTCATATTTTAGTATAATAAAAAATTAATTAAATACAATAATATATTTAAATTTTTATTATGAATAGATTATTAATGTATCAAATTTTTTTGTATAATAATTATTAAATTTATTTATTTTTAGTTTTCTAATAATTTTTTTTTTCTCTAAATAGTTCATAATTCAAAGCAAATGAACTTTATTTTATTCTCTTCTATAATATAATAATTTTAATTTAATAAAATATATTCACCACTATTATTTATTATTTAATAATTTTTCTTAACGTTCTACATTTTATTTATTAATATTGTTTATTTAGCTAACCCTTGGGATCATAGCAAAAAATTTAAAAAAGATGCATTTAAAAAGGTGTGAATTTAAAAAGAAAATTTTCTATATGATATCTATATGCTTAGGACTGAATAAGAGAGTGCATTTAGAGAGAAATATTTGGAGTGTGCATTTAGAGAGGATGCATTTAGAGAGAGTTGACTGTACTTTAATAAAGTAGTTATTTCTATCAATTTGTTTTAAATTCAAAGCATTTGTGATTTTTTGTATTTTACATAAAATCCAACTGAAAAACACACTCACAACCTAAGAGAATCTTCTCCCTCTCATAAAATTACATACAGTATATTTTTGTTGTTAAAGTTAATATTTGAAAGATCTTATTTTTAAAGATTTTGCGATATAGTTGCACGAATTTTTTTAATATGAAAATGATCTGCGTGGTGTTTGATATTTACTGCGCCAAAAAAAAAAAAATAACAAAGAATTCGAATTTTAAAAAATTTGATCCTTCTTTTACACATCCATTGCTTGGTATTATCAAGGTAATTTGTTTTTTTTAAAAAAAATAAAGAAAAAAAAAACAGATCTTTATATAAGGATTAATTAGAGGTGTATTTAATAATAAAATTGGAATCAAATTTATTAAACTTCGTTTTTTTTAATAAATTCTTACTTCTAATTGTACTATAGAATATAATACACAATGGCACAACGTCTGACATATAGACGCCGTTTGAGTTATAATACAAAATCAAATAGAGTCAGAGTTATCAAGACTCCTGGTACGTTATTTTATTTTAAAAGAAAAAAAATATTTAAATTTTATTTTCCTAATATATCATCTTTATTTAGGTGGCAAGCTTACTTGGTTATATGAAAGAAAACCCGCTAAAGGCCCTCACTGCGGTGATTGTGGGTCTAGACTTCCTGGAGTTAATATATAATTTATTATTCTAATGTAATTGATTTATATTGAACTTATTTTCATTTTGAAAATTTTTGATTTAGATCCCAGCGCTAAGGCCGCGACGATATGCAAGAATCTCTAAGCGTCAAAAGAAAGTGCAACGAGCCTATGGTGGTAGTCGTTGTGCTGGATGTGTTAGGGACAGGTAAGATTATCAATTTCCTCAATTCTTTGAATTGGTATTAGATATTAATTATTCCATTTCTCTTATAATAATAAGGATTGTACGTGCTTTTCTGATTGAAGAACAAAAAATAGTCAAAAAGGTTATCAAAGCCCAAGCCAAACCAGCTGCAAAAAAATGATTAATTTAAAATAAATTTTAAATTATAATTCTTGACATCGTGATTTGTTTGTAATAAATTTTTTTTTCATAACATCAATATTATCAAGTTTATTAAACTTGTGACTTCTTTATAATTATTACGATTCAGTTGAAATTGTTCTACATATAAAAATGTTTTTAATTAAAGCACATTTATCAATATCTATATAACAAAATAAAAATATTTGAATATATATGTATATATATATATAAAATAATTATTTTTATAATCAAAACTTTTTATCTACTTATTGCATACAGCAGTTGCAGACCTAAGATTGGATTTTGCCGGTCACGAATGGATGTAATAGGGCTTCCCTAACCGTTATCCGTTTCTCGGGATTCAGATTTAAACATTTATCTAAAAGATCAACAAATGCATTCAAAAGTCGTATTTCATCATCAGTCATATTCGAAGTCTTAGATAAAAGACGTGTTTTCAAATCACGAGTTGGTTTAGTTATCACAATAGTTTTTATAACCTCCTAATAAATGAATTTAAGTAAATAGATTTGAATCGAAAAAAAAAAATTTCATAAGTTAATTACGCACCTTATTGCTTATTTTATCTGTCTCATGACACAAAAAATTTAAGTCTTCATCGAAGTGTTGATCTACAAATTGTCCTTTACGAAGCATCTTATTCGAAAACTTGCCCTTAAGCTCCATCATGAGTTTTAACATTTGATTATTACTTCTACCTGGAAAGAGTATTTTACCGGTATAAAGCTCGTATAATGTACATCCGACGGACCACATATCAAGAGCATAATCATAGGGTAGACCAATGACTAAATAAAATTTAATAACATAAATATAAAACCTCGTAAAGGACAAAATAAATTCGAATTATTTATAAAATAAACATACTAATTTCTGGTGCACGATAAAACCTACTAACAAGATACGGTGTAATATCATTTTCGGACGCGTCAGAAGCCGAACCAAGGTCGCACATTTTTAGTGTATTTTTGGATTCACTTACCTTTTTGGAAGAAAAAATCATTTTTAAAAATCTGAAATACAAATATCTCGAATATCTCAAATATTTCTTACCAAAATATTATCCGGTTTGATATCAGCATGTAATATATTGCATTTTTTCAAAAGAGATAATGATAAAAAGAGCTGCTGGGCATAGATACGAACTGCTTTAATATTGATTCCAACATCCTTACCAAATTTTTTAAGAACTTCTCTCAAATTCATACTAAAATAAATTATGATAAAAAATTTAAAGAATCGATAAGTCAAAGGTCAAGGAGAAAATAATATATTCTAATAATTTGATTCTTATATACCTCAATGATTCAAATACTAAACACAAATGACGTTTGTGTTCAAAATGTCTAAATAATCTAATTACATGTTTTTTATTCTCGGGATCAGCTGCTATGAGTTTTTTAAGAATATTTAATTCTTTCATACCGGCTCGATACCTGAGAGAAAAACTATTAATATCATCTATTTAAATAAAATTTTGAATAATACTATAAAACTTACATTGTTTCATTATTGCGAATAATTTTGATGGCAACGTCGTTTCCTTCCTTAGTATCTTTAGCTTTCACAACAGAACTAAATACGCCTTTGCCAAGATTACTATAAACATGATATCGATTATCAAGAATTTCGCCTAATAGTACTCCTGTATAACAAATAACTTTAAATAAAAGTTATTATAGTATTCAAATTAAAATTTAAAATTACGTACGATAATATCCTTCAGCATCATCATAGTTGTCTACAAGACCGGCAGCATGTTCATGAACTACAACAGGAACAGTTTTAACAACCTATTCAATCGATAAACATAAAAATATGAATAAATTAATTAAATAATTATAAATACGTTATGACAAATTTACTAACAGGTATTGTTTGTATGGGTTTCTTGGATTCTGATGAATGGTCAAACATATCATCGTCAGCAAACATGTCAAATTCATAATTGGTCTTAGTAATGTGATTATGATGGTTTCCGTTACGTTCATTCAACGTTTCTTTATAATCTGCTGAAAACATATCAACATCGTCATTTCGTATGACAGTTTCTTGAGCATCTTTATTTTTCAATAATTCCAAATCTTTAGCTGATTTATGATGAAGCTGTCGTTCATCGTCTGCAATTCTGTCTTTAGTTGGATCATAATCTGCGGCAGAAAACCCTTGTTGATCTTCTCCAGAAACAAAGTCCTCTGTTAAAGCTTCGATTTTAGTCAAGGAAAAAGAAGTAGGAGTTGTTGGCGTAGCAGGCAATAAGAATATTGGAGTATCTGCCAATTGAGATTCTAATATAAAAGTATGAAAAATATGATATATCTTATAAATTCGAAGAAATTCAACATATATAAGATACCAACCATGTGCGTATAATTTAGGTTCTATTGTTGTTTCTGAAGTTATACTATTATCAACATTCATTGTGAGGGTTTCATTACTTTTATTTTTATACTTTTCTAAAATTGCATTACGTCGTTTACGTCTTTCTTCTATTAATCTTTCTTCATCCTCCTGAGTTTCCAAATTAATTTCTATGGTATCATTAAGAGATTGCTCGTTCTTTGATTCGTGATTTTTTGAAGGTTGTGAAGAGTATTGACCGTCTCTAATATAATATAAATGAGAAAAATAACAAATATGTAAGTTCAAAAAAGAATCCATGCATAGATTTTACAAATAAAATATGAACAAAACCTGTTTAATATCTCTCCGGAAACTGAGCTTTTAATTTCATATTCTATGAATCTTCTAGAGCTTGATCCGTTCGCTCGTTCTTCACCGTATCGTCTAGAAGATTCTCTGTAATTTCTTTCCTTAACATATCCTCCATCTCTTTCCCTACTATAACCCCTTTCTTTATCGTATCCTCTTACAGAATCTCTTTGATTATATCGATAATCTCGTTCATTTTCATACCGGTTGCGAGGTTCCTTGCTTCGCCGACTTATACTGAGACGTCGTTCACTGTGGTGAGAAGAAGATCGATGACGAGAAGAATGGCGGCGAGATGAGTGGTGACTTTCATCGTCAGAGGAAAAATCTTCTCTACTACGTTTAGGTTTACAGGAAGATGCAGGTGAAGGTTCAATACGATTGGAGGAGAAATCGCTACGATTTTCGTCGTCATCAACGACCATATGATCGGTCGAGTTTAAGTTGTTACCTAAACCATCCTTACGATGTTTTTCACCTTCTTCTGCACCGTTTTTTCTTTCTGACTCGTGACGTTGATGATGACCATGGTGGTTGCGATCACGCTCTCGAGCATGGTGTCGACGGTGGCTATGAGAATGTCTGCTAGAGTGTCGCTGTCGACGATCCTCTTTATGCCTACGATCTCTTTCACGGAGGTCTCCTTTCTCCCTCCCATTTGTTTCAATTGTAGAGTCACGATCACGACTTCCAGCACTTAACCTACGTTCCTGTAAAGACTCATCGGTGGCTTGACTTTGTGGTGAAGATTGACCAGGGCCGGTCAAAGCGGCCATACCATTGGTCACTTCTTCAACATTACGTTTGTTTCTGTCATCTTCTTCACTTTCATGTGTTCCAGAATCATCTACAATCTCACCTTCTTCCGTTTCTGATAGTGATGTTCTTGTATCCATAAGTTTATGATTTTTTATTTACCGAATTTGAGCAAATATTTTACGGAAAAGATTAAAAAAAAGTCAGAAGTTATAAGTGGTTTTACTCAAACACAAAAAAAAAAAAAAATTTTTCTCCTAAAGTCACAAACTTAATGTAGTAAACAGTTTACTATATAAGAATAAAAGGGAAAACTCTAGATCGACAAATGTCTCGACGAAAGTTAGAGCGGTGTTTTGTAATATAATTAATAATTTTGTTTGGAGGATAGAAGCACTTTTTTTAATTGTAAAGGTAATTTTGAAAAATTGGTTAGAAAATTACGTAAAATAATACGTCATACACAATTTTATTCACGTGACTACAATTTTATAGTAAAAAAGGACTTCCTTTATACATTTGACCATTTGGCCTTTGGGCCGTTTGGTCATTGTCAAATGGTCAAAAGATTCTTGATAATGACCAAAAAAAAACATATATTAATATCTATTTATTATTTAAGCATTAGTTATTTTATTTATTTAGTAGTAATTAAAATTTTTTTTGATTATAATCAAATGTTAATACTGTTTATATATCTACTAATTACATAAAATTTGAAACTATTAAAGTTATTATTTACTTAAAAAAAAATGACTTGATAGTATTCAAATAAAGATAATAATATATAAATTATTAATATTAGAAAACACTATAATAAATAGTAATTATTATTAAAATCCTTTAATTAAGATAAATATTGATTTATTTTTTATTTTATAATATATAATAATATTTTTAAATATTATTAAAATATTATTAAAAATAAAGATTAAAATAAATAAAAAATCTTTATTTAATTTAGTATTAATTTATAAATTATAAAATTATTATTATTATAGATATCTTTAATATAAATAATATAAATTAAAAATTATATAATTTATAAAAATAAAAGCTATATAAGATATAATATTATAAGTAGAATTGAAAAATTAGTATAGTTAATACAGTATTTAATAAATACTAATTATTTAGAATAATATAATACAGTTCCTAGTAAAAAGAATGATAGAAGTGTTTTTTAATAATATATATAAAACTTTATTTTTAATATGTATATTATTTTTTATTTAAAAAACCAATAATAATGCAACATTTATATTAATTAATTAATATATTTATACTTTTTTTTGCATCAATATATGCTTGAATTTGATTTAACATACTATTAATATACTGAAATAATATAACATTATTGAAATTATCCTATTTTTATTGAATTGTATTAAAAAAAATATTACAGGTAATTATTTTACTACTAAACTCTTAATCTTTTCTCTACTTTTCTTTTTATTACAGCTTTATATTTTTAATAGAATTTAAATTTGAATTATATAAAAACAAATAAAGAATACTTTTCAGATAATATTTTTCTAAATTATGTTAAATGTCTATGAGATGTATTTTAAGTTATTATTTTATTGAAAAATCTAGTTATGTTTATTTAATATAATTGTATTATCATATAAATAATTATTCAGGATATTTTAATATATACAATGGTGATCAAAAGTTTTGTATTACCCAAATACAAATTTAAAATGGAAATATCTTGTAATTTAAAAGCCATAGTGTTACAAACTTAAATATAGAGTTTATTATACCTTAATCTTTATCAATCTTTTTTATCTTTTTTTTTAAGAATATTTTTTTTTATTATAAATCTTTCACCAAAGTAGCAATGCATTTCTTTTGATCAATTTAAGAAATAAATATCAACATTTATTATATGATTTTTTTTTGCTTCAAAATAACTATGCAACACATATAAAAAAGATGCCTTAAGTATTTTTCATCTCTTTGTAATTTTATAAAATATCTATAGTTTATCTTTCTGTTAAAAAAAGAGTTAGGATTTGTACCTTATTTAATGAAAGTTTTTCCTTTCGCTATATAGCAGACAAGAAAAATGTTTCTCAATCAACTATTATAAAAACCAAGTAACATAAAGATAAAATTAGTAACAATAAAAATAAATTTAAATCTGAGCGTTCACAACTCTTAACTGGTCGATATAAATGAAAAGTTTTGAAATTAATTATAACAGGTGAATGTAGTAATGCTGTTGTAATTTAAAAAAAATTAAAAATAGAAGAATAAATTGAAGTTAGTAAATGTATAGTAAAGAGAACCTTATATAGAAATAGAATAAATGTAAGGGTTAAGTGCAAAAAACTATATTTTCAAAAAACACATAGAATTATAAGGATAAAATTTGCAAAAAAAATACAAGTTATGAATAGTTGAAGATTGAAGTAAAGTGGTTTGATCAGATAAGCCAAAATTTATGATTTAGGGATCAGATGGTAAAGAGTATTGTTGAAAAAAGTCAGGAGAACTATTATGCAATCATCATGTTAAATCAACAATCAAATTTAAATAGGGTAATACACTACCTTATTAAAAGTATCCAGTCAAGCTCTTTTTGATTATTTCGAGATCAAATATATTAATTAATATAAATTTTTTTTTTAAATAAATGCTTCGGTTCTGACAAATAAAATTTATGTATTTGTTTTTTGTTATGATATATACACCAAATTTGACAATAAAAATAAAAACAATTATCTATTTTGTGTAGTGATGATCTTTAATTTTTTTACTGCGCCTTCGAAGCATGAGAAAAAATCATAAATTAAATGAATTTGAACGTGAAAAAGTCATTGGACTTTGGATAAGAGAAAGGACTCATGAAGCCATTAGTCGTGTCTTAAAAATTCCAAAAAGTACTATTATAGACACAATTTCTCAATACAAAAATCTTAACAATAGATTAACAGCTAAAAGAACTGGAAGACCATGTTTCATAAATAATGATGACGTTATAACCTTTTAAAAATTGTCAAAAAAAACAATTAACTTTCTCTTGAAAAAATTCAACAAAAATTTAATAGTTCACAAGATAAAAAAATTTCAGCTGTAACTATTCATAAAAACCTTCATCAAATAGGGATTAATTCACAGGTTTCTACATCAAAACCACTTCTTATTGAAGCCTAACGCAAAAAATAATTGTCATAGTATATGGAACGATAAGATTGGTCAGTTAGACAGTGAAAAACTGTCATCTGGAGTGATGAGTCTAGATTTACCCTTTTTCAAAATGATGGTTCTGTTTGTGTTTGGCGAAAAGATAGAATCTGATATAATATTGAGAATTTAACACCAATGGTTAAACATGATGGTGGAGGTGTTATGGTATAGGGATGTTTTTTAGGAAATGATTGAGACCATTAGTAAAAGTAGATGGTAAAATGAATAGATTTGGTTACATTGATATTTTAGAAAAAAATTTATTATCATTTATCCATTCTAAACATCGTAAACAACCTTATGTATTTCAGGATGATAATACTCCTATTCATACTGCAAAAGATATCAAAAATTGGATTATAAAGAAAAAGATTAAGATTCTTCCAAATTGGCTTTCTCAATCTCTAGTTCTTAATCCTATTGAATATTTGTGGTATGAACTAGAATAAAGACTTTGAAAACGATTAGAATATCCAAAAAAAATTCCATCCAAAACTTATATTAATTTAATTGAAAGCATATCACGTCAGATAGAAGCATGTATTGAAAGTTAAGGATGGCCAACTAAATATTAAAAATTTATAATATTATAATAAAATATAATTTTTAAATTAATTGATTAGATACTT